TATATATGAATTCATAATTATAATCTTCCAATGGTGGACAGAAAAATGGGCAATCACATGGATGAGAGAGAATCCCACCGAATCAGAATCCAACTAACAACAGCCTTATTATATGAAACTGTTCCAATAATGGAACATCAAGTCCCACGTTTGTTCCTCTTGTCTCCGACCGGCCGGCGACCACAATGCCATCACCTTCATCCCCTAATTATTCCACAATTCCTCCATTTCCTTCTATTTATAAGCCTCTCATTTTTGGTGCTTACACCATTAACAACAACTCAACACAAAAACACACAGAGAATTAGAGTCAGCTGAAGAAATGGCAAGCAATGGACTTGAACTTGAAATCACTGAGCTCAGATTAGGCCTTCCGGGGAGTCGCCATACCTCAAGTTCAAAACATGACAACAAAAGGGTTTTCTCTGAGATGAATGGTAATGAAGGAGGAGATGAAAGAAGCAGCAACGACTGTGATGGCGGTGACCGCAGATATTCAAAGAAAAACCAAGTTGTCGGGTGGCCACCGGTTTGCTCTTACCGGAGAAGGAGCAACGGTAATGACAAAGATCTATCCAAAACTTTGAAGATGTATGTGAAAGTAAGCATGGATGGTGCGCCTTATCTTAGAAAAGTTGATCTTGGAATGCACAAGGGATATTCAGATCTCGGGATGGCGATGGAGAATCTCTTCAGTTGTGCAATCGGAAGCTCGGATTATGTCCCAATTTATGAAGATCGGGATGGCGATTGGATGCTTGTTGGCGATGTCCCATGGAAGATGTTTGTTGAATCGTGCAAGAGATTGAGGATAATGAAGAGATCCGAAGCTAAAGGGTTTGAGATTCAAGTACCAAAAACTCGAAGCAGTAGTTCTCCAAGGAAGCTTTAAAAGATGAGGCGGAAGAAGATCGATTGGATCGAGTTTTCACAATTTCCTTTTTTCATCGATTTGAAATGTATACATACAATATATATACCCTAACTTGATAATGTTAATGATCTTGTCTAATTTGACAATTCACAAAGGTTAATGACAAAATTTCTGTTTACAAAATTTCTGTTCTATATTCAATTTGGGAGATTAACACTCCAAAACTCAGTACAGTATGAGTAAGGTATATAGGAAAACAATTCAAGTAATAAACAAAGAACATGGTAGAAGTTGATGGATCAATCAAAATCATCTTCAACATCAGAATCTTCTTTGAACTTATATAATATTTCATCCTTATGTGAGTTTCCAGATATAAACTATAATGAGTGAGAGCATGTGCTTGTGGAATATTTGCATTGATATTAACAACCCTAATTACATAAATCACATATTTAGATTCTGAACTTCCCCCAATATATTAAAGAAAAGAAAATTGGGGCTCGACCTTCTCTTTTACTAAAACGTCTGCTCATCAATGTGTGTCGTAGTAGGGTCAGATGATTGTCTTATAAGAATAGTTGAGATGCACACAAGTTGACCCGATCTAAACGGTGGGAACCATTTAAAAGTTATTAATAGGAAGAAAAGTAGTAGGTTTATCAAATTTAATTCTCACCTCTCATGTTACATTCCTCTTTCCACTGAGCTCTCTTTCTCTTCTTCGATCCACATAGATAAAATAGAGGATTGGTACCAAAAGTTCATCACGGAAGAAATGATTTACTAGGTCAAGAAAACTAAGTAATACTAATCTAGTACTAATAGAATAAAAAAATCGATCTTTTTTATATACTTTCTCTGGTTTTGTTGCTACCGTGGGTTTTACACAATCAATCGGATCATATAGATATCTCTTCCGCACAATATAGATCATCGAAAAGATCTCAGAAACCCACTAAAAAGGGTGAGAGAAAATCGTGATGTGATTGGAGCTTGTGTTTTGAGAGATGAAGAGTAACTCGTCCTCTCTGCCAAGAGGCTCCATTATTAAAAAACCAAACACAAACACAAAGACAGCAAAGACAAGAAGAGAGAGATTCAAAATGTTGATAATTTGAAAAGAAGATCGAAGAAAAGGAAAAAACAGTAAACCGTGTGACAGTACCAACACTTAACACCACCAACACAACAAGGCAAAACCACATGGGGTTTGTTCAAAAAGCAAGACAATCCAACAAACGGCTGTGATCAAATCCCACGACGATCTCAAACCATTTATGGACCCTACAACCCCCATCATTGTTCCCTCTATGTCCTCTCAAAATTCCCCATTTTCCTCCTCATATAAATAAATAACACCGCCTCTCATTCTTCTTCAAAATTAAACATCATCATCATCAAATTTTGTAACCCAGATGGCAACTGAGGGATTAGGCCTCGAAATCACCGAGCTCCGTCTAGGACCAATTCCGGCGAGCAAAAACAATGAGAAGAAAAGGGTCTTCTCGGAGGTGGAAGTGGAAGACAAGAGTGACGGTGGAGGGCGGAAGCAGGTGGTGGGGTGGCCGCCGGTGTGCTCGTACCGGCGGAGGAACAGCTTGAGGGAGAAGGAAGAAAGTGAAGGAATAATGGAGGGGAGGAAAAAGATGTACGTGAAAGTGAGGGTTGAAGGAGAGGCCTTTGTGAGGAAAGTTGATTTGGGAATGGTGAAGGGATATGGGGAACTTGTTGATGCAATGGAGAAGCTCTTTGGGACCCCAATTGGGTGTTCTGAGTGTACTATCACTTACGAAGATAGAGATGGAGATTGGATGCTGGTTGGTGATGTGCCTTGGAAGTATGTTCTCTTTTTTTCTAAAACCCTAAACCCTAAACTCTTTCATATTTGATTATATTTCTTGTAATCATGATTTAGGATCTAATGTATCTGCAGGATGTTCATTGAATCATGCAAGAGATTGAGGATAATCAAGAAATCTAGCTCATAAGCCAAGAGAGAGGTTCTTGAAGGGAGCTATATCAAAACATATAGAATAACTAAGTATCAAGGGATCAGGAGCTCATCGATCACCAACATTTGTTTAGATCCAATCTTCCCTTTTATCTTGTTCTTGTTTTCATATGATTTTATTTTCATAGAAATATTTCAGATATTTAAGTTGCTATAATATATTAGTAAAGTTGATGACTATTGTAATGAAATAGAATTGGGAAGTTTTTCTTTTTCAAGTCATTCCGACCATCATTTAATTTGTTGCCATTTTACTCGATGAATATTATATATTTGTCACAATTCAAGTGTACTACGGGTGAATATTGTCTTTTTTAGGTTTTTTCTTTCAAATTTTCCTCTAAGATTTTACGAGCAAACATGTCAACTAAGGAGAGGTTTCCACACTCTTACATACAAGGAATGCTCCGTTCCCTATTGATGTGATATCTCACAATCCCACCCTCTTTGATGTCTGGTTCTAATATCATTTGTAATAGACAAAATCTACCACTACCCGATATTGTCTTATTTGAGCTTTCCCTTCTAAGCTTTCATTCAAAGTTTTAAAACGTATCCACCGAGTAGATGTCGTTTTTATATAAAGTCTTTTTCTTTTAATATCGGTTTCAATAATTTTTTTAATGGATAGTTTTTATTTATTAATATAATTTCTATTAAAAAGGTAAATGACCTAATATATTTATTTATTAACAACAGAGGAGAGGCAAGGATTTGGACAAGGTCAAGAATATGGAATATAGTCTTCAATTTAACTGATAGAAAAAAATATCTCCTTATTTCTGGTTTAAATGGAAATTCTCCATCTGATTTGGAGCATGTTCCTATGTGGTTGGACATCTCTAAATATTTAGAAATAGTGTTAACCTTACATAATTTTGTAGGCCTAGAAACGCTACTAAACTAATGTACAAGTTATTTGGTTGAAATGATAAGAAATATGATAATGATTCAAGTATTTGGGTCAATAAATCTGAACAGCCACTTATAAAGTCTCTGTTCCAAAAATGTACGAAAGGGTGAAAACCTCACACAGTGAGTTGAGGTAGATAGTAGTTGAGCATTAAAGAGGGCATTCAATAATGGGTTACCAGAAATTATTAAGCCAAATGGGCCACGATGATACATAGCTGGGGATAGTAGCCTACCAAAATACAAACCCATTTGAGACCAATACAATTCCAGCAATGGCGGAAAAGGCAGCAGCTGCAGCAGCACCTCAAGAACAAAAGATGTCGAACGATGATCATGTTATCAAGAGCAGGGAAGACAAAGCCTGTTTCTGTGCTTGGTATGTTTCATAATTATGATTAAATTTTTAATTCCAACCTTTAATTTGCTCTTTTTTTTTTTTCTTTGATTCACATAGTTTGCTTACATTATGTTGCTGTTCTTGCTGCTATGAGACTTGGGACTGTTTTTTGGCTGTCTTATTATGCTGCTGCAGCTGATCGCAAGTTTGGAGCTCATTTCATACCCTAATTGCTATGGCTTCTTATATGTTCTTGACTTGAATTGACCATCTATATATTTTGTATGTTTTTTCCAATTAACTAGTTTTTGTTTTAGAAATTCGTTATGAAAATTATGGTAATCAAATTCAAAACCATAATAGTGATGAAATTGGTATCATTAATTATGAATTTAATACACAGAATTACAAATGATTACAACTTAGGTAAGACTCGAACCTTAGTAGAAAGCTTAAAATATAATTTTACTTTTAAAGCCAAATTCTCGAGATTTTATTCAAGGTCATAGAGACCAAAGTTCGAGGTAAGGTAGAAGAGAAAAATGAGTAGAAATAAGAGAATAACTTAAAAAAAATATAAAAAAAAAAAGATAGAAAATTAAAAAATATGGTCAACTGAGAATAATCTGGTCAATATACCCTCCCTTCTAGTAACATAGGATTAAAAGAAGAAAAAGAAAAATAAAGGGAAAAGGAAAGGAAAAATGGCTGAGAGAAAGTTCTAGAGAGAGAAGGAAAGCTCTAGAGAGAGAGGTAACAGCCCTGAGTTCAGTTCGGCCGAGCCCCTCTTCACGAAATCTTGACTGAACAAAGAGGAGGACATTCTTAACTCTTAGATCGACTAAAACCGTCAAGTAACCAAGAAAATCCGTAGGTAAGTTCTTGAACAGTTGATTTCGAATTTTCCTCCGATCTATAAAAAATTTTGGTAATTAGATCTTGAAATTTGAGTATGTTAATATGGAGAGAATTACAGTCATAATTTGTGAAGGGAGCCGTGATTGATTCGAATCATATTAATACAAGTGAGTCATGTAGAAAGAAATATGAAAATGCAAAGAAATTAGAAAATAATCAGAGAGGAAGAAGACGAACGGAGGAGGGCCGCGCGTCAGGCAAAGAGAGGGCCGCGCATCGCCGGGATGGTCGACACGTGTCCTGAGTGTATTGGCGGATAAATTCAACGAAATACTTCGCGTCGGGCAGGATTCGAACGCCGGCAGCCCGCTACCCGAGTCCACAACCCGACAACCTCGCGCGACCCGGAATTCCGACCCAGCTCCTCGTTGCTACGCGTCAGAGTAAAAGAATTCGGGTTTCCAGCGCGTCCTTCCGGTTTCGAACCGACGACCTCAATCTCGGATGACCGTTCAGAACCTCAGCGCGCGTCTTCCTTCCGTCATGCGCGTCCGTACGCGCGCGTGTAATACTTTCCCAGACGCGTGTGCGCGCGTGAGGTTCTGTTTTCTGCCGGTTCAACTTCTGTTTTCCCGAATCTCCTCCCGATTCCTAACTCTAACCCTACTTTTATATGAAATAGGACTTCAATAGAAAAAATCAGTATTTGTAGACACGCTATTGGTGTAGAAGCGCTAAACGAAGAACACGCGTCAATCAAGTAAGTCACCACAAGAAACTTTAGGAAGAAATACGTGTAGGAGTCGCTTGGTTATGCATGCATGCTAGATTAATTACCTTAGGTGGTAGCTTTCTAAGATTGAATGTAAGTAATTTGATTGTTGAGAGTATGGATGTATTATGTGAAATATTATGAGAATTATCTGAGTGTTGCAATTATGTTTTAAGCTTCCGCTTATATGTATATGTTTAATTCATGCTGAAAGGAGGATGGGAACTTGTGAACTCTGGGCTTTGGGAGTTGATGGATTTTTTCGCTCCGTTGAGCATGTATGATTATTTTGCATGAATTTTGTGTGATGATGCTGGATGATAGTTGTGTGTACACTCAATTAATTCTCATGGCACACACGTATGATAAAGTCTAGGGATTTGTGGTTAGAGTGACAAGTCACTTAGGTATAGACCTAACCTTTCCCATAGTAGTCTAACAGACCACCATGACATACGAACCATCTCTAAAGTACCATTTGGCTGCATGTGTGTGATTGGTGTCATAGCTTCGTGGGGGACCAGGGGGTTCCTGATCAGAACCCGACTGCTCTTAGCCGTTTTAGTATGGGAAACGTGTGTCCACGTCGTATAGACCATTTAGCTGGATGGGTTAAGGGGGGTAGCTCTCCCCGACCAAGGGGACTAACATGGACCTAGGGAGTTGCAGCTCACTTCTTAAGTAAGATACCATGTGGTCTCAGAGCCATGCCGAGGTAGCTACTCGTAGAGCACCAGTCATACATAGGTTGGCAAAAGGGAACTCTTAGGGTTTAAATGAAAGAACGAAGAACCAAAGAAGCCCCAAGGGGCATGTCCTAAAGAGCTAAGACTAGATCCAGATGTCTTAGAGGCAAAGAGAAGTTCGTGGAAGTCTATTAAGCTTAGAATGCGATGAGAGCCTACAAGTAGGTGGCTTACTGAGTATAATTTCTATACTCATTCCTTTCTACTCTTTTTTTTTTTAGGTACCAGTCGAGGTGGAGGAGAGTTCGAGAGCTGTGCGGTTACAGAGGGGGTCGTTCCAGAGCGTCAGTCCCTCGTCGGTCTTTTAGAGTCTTTTGTATTTCATTTTATATTTGTAATTTCTTTTGTAATAATTTTGAAAGAAAACTTCTCCCTCTTTTGTAATAATTAAATGGTATTATTTTTATCTTTTTACTTTACTTTTTTTTTTTTTCCCCGATTTCGTCTCTTGGGTCACGATTCGAGTTTTCGAAGCCTTGAAAATTTGGTCCGACAACTTAACATCAAAATAAATTAAAGTTGAGGATGCTATAAGTTTGATTATTATGAGCATATGAAATGGGGATCAAACTCCACAATAAGCTCCGGCAGTGGAAGGCGTTTTCTCGCACTCTTCTTTGGAGAAATAACCAAGTAATCCATAATGGTTAAAAGGGTTGAATTTCAAGGGGAATTGTTCGTCCACCAACTCATCTGGAATCTCAATAACTCCTTTGTGATATGAAAATAGGGCTGTTGAATATCTTTCCTTGCTTCCCTCTATTAAAACTCTATGTGTGGCTGAGTGGATTCTCCCATTGCTCCATGCCTATCCATCAAAATCAAATTTTATTTTTACCATCTTCAAATTTGAGTTAATTCAACCATTCAAATCCATCTTTCCAATAATAATTAATTTCTTATCTACGTTCCAATTAGTGATTATATGTAAGATCCCACATCGGTTAGGAAGGAAAACAATAGGCTTGGACTGTTACAAATGGTATCAGAATCACGATACCAGGTGATGTGCCAGCGAGGAGGCTGAGCCCTGGAGGGGGTGGACACAAGGCGGTGTGCCAACAAGGACGCTAGGCCCCAAAGGAGGGTGGATTGGGGGGTCTCACATCAATTGGAGAAGGGAACCAGTCTCGAAGGGGGTGGATAGGAGACGGTGTGCCAACAAAGATGCTGGATACCGAAGGAGGGTGGATTGGAGGGTCTCACATCAATTAAAGAAGGGAACGAGTCTCGAAGAGGATAAACACGAGACGGTGTGTCAGCAAGGATGCTGGACCTCGAAGGAGGTGGATTGGGGATCCCACAACATCTGTTAACAGTGGGCTTGTGGTGTGCGGGTATAATTGAAGTATGGATCAAAGCACAAGTAAGAGGTATACCAAACAAGCATCTCCAGCCATGACCAAGAAGGAATTTGGATTGAATTGAAGTCCAATCCAATGATCATCCTTTTTTGCTTTGATTTCCAAGCCATTGACTCCATTTTGATGAAGAATAGTGAAGAAACTCTTGTCTGTGTGAGCTTCTGCTCCAATATTCTGTTCACCCATCTCAGGAATTCTATATTTCATGCCTCTAAGCAAATAAGTGGTCGAAGCAATATGAGAATCATAGTACTTTTCCACTCCATAGCTTTCAAACACCATCCTCTTCACTAACTTCTCCATCTCTGATACCATCTTTGTGTATGCAAACAAATCCTCACTGTCCAACAAAATCATTTCCAAGTAAGATTTTAAAGATTTACACCCAAAATAGACAACCATGTAATTCATACAAAGTTTACCAGAAGTGATGATTTCCAGAAGGCCACATGAGCTTCACAAAGGACTCAACACCTTCAAAACTTGCTGCATTTTCAATGCCAAAGCTTTCATGAAGAGGAAGAACAAAGGGAGCCCTGTGGTCCAAAAAGCCATGGTAAGGCTTATCAGAAACATTCTTCATTTTAGTTTCTAAAGGCAAATCAAAAAGCTTTTCCAAGCCATTGAAAATGGCATCATCAAGCTCAACATTATTCTCACACTCAGCCAAGAAACACCCATATTCTTCAAGAGCAGCCCTCACATGGCTGCATGTTTCTACCCATTTGGTGCTTTTAGGACGAAGGTTTTCAATGGAGAAGTTGATGGCTGGAACCTCAGGCTTTTTGGAAGAACGAAACCCCATGGCTTTGGCTTTGGCTTTGGCTTTAGCAAGAGAGCTCTTTGTGTTTGTGAGTGCTTTGGATGCCAATCCATTCCAGTCATTTATAAAAATGGGGTTTACAAATTTTCGATGAATCCAATTTGGGGCATTTTTGGCGGTGTACACAATTTGTGATAAGATTTGGAGTTTTGTCAAAGGAATATATCCTTATTGAAAGAATTTGGCTTAAATAGAATATATCTACACACTCATAATTTGGGAGTTCATAACACAATATTCAAATTATGTGTGCAAGTGATCAATTTTTTTAAACAAACTGTGTCAAAATGAGCATATAGCGTGTTATTAAAAAAATGTAAAGATTGTAGCTTTCAAAGTAATTTAATAATTTAATTGGTTAAGATAAATAATTTTAATGAATAGATCAAAGGTAGGGGTGAAAATAAGTGGAGCTAGATTTATTATATTATTATTATTATTTTACTCGTCAAATAAAGCCATGCAAAGGTTTTCTTGTTCTTCTTCCCCAAATCAATTAAGGATTTAGGGCTTAGGGTTTAGTATCGAAACTAGTGGAGATATCGAAGGCCTTAATGACATGAACAGTTGAGTTGAGTATCAACACTAAACTTCAGTCAACGACGAGTTCAAGAGACAAAAGTGATAGAAATTTACTCGAACCAATAGTAATGGAATCAGTTTGCTTTTGTTTCTTCTACCTAAATAGAAGTTCCAATCACTCTATCTTCCTACATGTTTGAATTAAAAAAATAAAAAAATAAAAAAAATAAAACCTTAAATTCAAGTCCTAGAATAATTTTATTATCCCATTTTATATAATAATAATTCACCTCTTTTTAAATACATGTTGTATTTTAGTCTGCACAAATTAGATTTATTTTTTATGAACTTAAAAAAAAAAAAGTGGTCAGTCTCCATAGATTTTATATAAATTTTTTATTATAGATAAATATAGCGGACTTTAAGGTGCCTAACGAAACAAATTTAGTTTCATATTTATTGATTATTGATTATATTAATACCAATAATTATCTTTAAAAAAATGTAATTCATCCAACCCGTCACTATTAAAAAAAATAAAAATAAAAATAATATTGTTGTATGCGAAAAAATGTAAAATATATATGAAAGTCATGCATAATTTCTCCTTAAATTTTGGTAGATAGAGGTTAAGATAATATAAAGATATAAGATCTTGTTTGTTTCATGTTATAATAACTCCTTTTTTTTAATTAAAAAAATTAATAATATCATTATTTGCATTGACATGTCATTTTCACGTTCACGTGTATCCAACTATTGCTAATTAAACTATAAATGAAAGATGACGATTGTAATTAAATATCATTTTTATTTTTCACTTCTTTCGTCCTCCAAATTCAAACAAATTTGTTTGGTTGACTCCCCACTCTACTGTGTCTAATCGACCTAAAATGTATCAACTCAACTACACCGCTAACGAATATTGTTATTTTTGAATTTTTTTTTCGAGCTATCGTTCAAAAATTTTAAAATGAGTATGTTTATTAGGGAGAGGTTTTCACAACGACTGCTTCGTTCCCCTCTCCAATTGATGTGGGATCTTACAATGCACTCCCTTCGAGACTGCACTCGTTTCCCTCTCCAATCAATATGAGATCTTCCAATACACTCTTATAAAAAAGGGTAACAGAACTAAAAGTTGGCACTCGTTCCCTTCTCCAATTGACGTGGGATCTCACCTTTCAGAGCCAACGTCAGGCTCTGATACCATTCTTTATAAGGGGTGGATTGTGAGATTTCACATCACGAGCACTCACGAAGACGTTGGATTCCGATGAGAGGTGAATTGTGAAATATCACATTGGTTAAAAAGGAGAACGAAACATTTTTTATAAGGGTGTGGAAGAAACTTATTAGCAGACGCGCTTTAAAAACCTTGAGATGAAATCCGAAAGGAAAGCCTAAAGAGAACAATATCAGCGAATGGTGAACTTGAACTGTTTCACGTTCGTAGAAAATGATTACAGGTAGATGTCGTGGGTAGCTAAAGATGATCGAGTATCAATAATTGCTATTGGTCACGCCAATAATTGGTATTGGTTCCTGGCTATAGTTGCATAATTCAACTAACCAATATGAATCTTAAACGTAACTTATACAATTATGATCTTCACATTCTTTTACCTATAAAACACTATACAACTCAAATAAATGATATCATCTTCTTTGGAAATTAAAAATAGTGATAGAGATGGCAAATACAGCAGCAAAAAGAACAGCAAATCCAGCGACCATAGAATTAGAAAGTCGCAAGAAATCATGTCTGAAACCGAAGTACTGTCTCACAAATTCCTGCACAGTTTGACCAGTTTCAAGAACATCCTGCACATCTCCATATTGGGAGGCTACTAATCCATACAACGTCCAACCCACTGGGCAAACCCAGTAGTACCATGCCCACCACACCGGAATCCTCTATACAAAAAACAACAAACATTAATCATTTTACGGAAGAAAAAAACCGAAACCCGAACTTGGAAACAAAACTTACGGGTTTTGGGACGACGAATCCCGAAAACAGACTCCACAGTCCAAAGAATGCAAAGGAGAGAATTGAAGCAATGTGATGATTTGGTGTCATTGCCACAGCCATCATCCCATAGAAAGTGAAGTAGAGCAAAGTGAAGTACATGATGAACAGATACCAAAGGAACTTAGCAACACTGCATTCAAATCCAATCATTGTGTACACTATGAGAGTGTAAACCAGAGCTTGGAGTAAAACATATGGGAGCTCAATCAGCACCTGAAACATGGGACAGGACACACAGTTTTCAATGCCTAAACTAAACAAAGTTCTTATGTTTCAAAACAGAACAACGTTAGTACCGCTGCAAATGCGTATGAGAAGGCTGAGTACATTCCAGCAGCTCTTTCACGATAAAACACGGTTCGTTCTACGGCGAGCACGGGCTGTACAGAGAAGGCATTCTGGACTCCCAAGAATAGTGTTGCAGTGTACATTGATCCCATGGCATTGAAAAGATCTTGTCGCCTTGTCCTTCATTACACAAGTCAATGTTTTCCAATAAGAGAACAGAACATGTTTCTTGTCTTCATGGCATGTGAAGGTAACAAAAAAGGCTTACCTTTTTGAGCCAAGGTCCCAAAACATTGTACCGAACATCAGCGCAATGACGATCGTGAAGAGCAATCTCACGGCGGAGTAAGACGGGTTGCGCCAATTACACCAATGTTGCTTCCATAAACAAGCTACACATTGTGTGTAAAGTGATCGTGAGTATTGAGTTGGGAAATATAGGTTTGTTGATCCCGGAGTTGGGGTACTCAATTCTTCAACAAGCGTCTTGTTTCTCCTGTTCATCATTTTCGAAAATGTTCATACGAAAAGCATCACATTTATGCATAATAACTGGTCTACTATATTGTTGAATTACCGATAAAGTTCTGAGTTTCTGTACAAATCAGTGAAGTCAACTCCTAAAGCAAGTTCTTGTGCTGGGGAAGTGACTTCTAACATCCATGTGGCAGGGTTGTACCCATCTTTTATTCTAGCAACTCCTTTGATTTCCTTAAGAATAAAGATGAAGATTTTACATAATTTTTACTGGGGAGCAAAATCATGAGTGTTTCTAATAATTTTACCTCAAAGTACTTTATTAGATGGAAAGAATGGCGACCCAATGGACCAACGTACATTTCTTGGCCTCCTGGCTTCATCAAGAAGAGCTGCAGCAAATAGCTCAAAGTGTTAAGTATTAGAGATTTCATTTAGCTTAAATGTTCATTGTTTGGTCTGTCACCTCGTCGAAAGCTTCGAAGATGTCGATGCTCGGTTGGTGAATTGTGCATACAACAGTTCTTCCAGTATCCACTGTGTTTCGAATGGTTCGCATGACAATGGCTGCAGCTCTAGCATCAAGTCCTGAGGTTGGCTCGTCCATGAATATTATGGATGGATTTGCTACAAGCTCCACAGCTATGGTGAGTCGCTTGCGCTGCTCGGTCGAGAGACCGTTTTCACCTGGCAACCCAACTAGAGCATCCCTCAACGTCTTTAACTCCACAAGTTCCATCACTTCATTAATGAACATCTGTTGTTATTCATTGCAATCAAATTGTCAGCAATTCACTTGAAGCTCTTCCACGAACAAAAGTAACAGAAGAACAGTATTGGCATAGTTTACCTTTCTAGTTTGGGGATCGACTTGTCGGGGCAGACGGAGCCATGCGGAGTAGAGCAAGGATTCGTAGACAGTAAGATGAGGAGAATGGATGTCATTTTGTTCACAATAACCAGAGATTCTAGCAAATGTTTGTTGCTTCTTTGGATAACCAGATATCTTGATGTTCCCTTCAATGTAACCCCCAGTTTTTCTACCAGCCAAGACATCCATTAGTGTTGTCTTACCAGCACCACTCACTCCCATAAGAGCTGTTAGAACACCTGGCCTAAAAACTCCACTTATTCCCTTCAGTAGCACCAACTTATCTTCAAAAATACCTTGGTTTTTCATTTCCTGAAAACCCCATCAAACGTAATTATCATTAGGAAGTTTCAATGGAAATTTCAACTCTTCCTTTTTTGTAGCTGGTTTGATTCTTACCTGCGGCATGTCAACAGAGTAAGTGATATCTTCAAATGAAATTGAATGTTGCTCAAATGGAAGAATCATTCCTGTTCTATTTCTGGCATTGGCTTGAAATTTCATTTCTGTTCTTGAAGCTGAAGTCCCTGAAATTAGCACAACGCCCAACAATCAACTGGTTAATGACTAATGGATTAGAGGTTCGAATTCTCGATCTCAAACTTTGTTATACCTCTTTTGTCACCACTGTCAATACTTTCTGGTTCACCTGATTGAAAAGCTCGACCCTTCCCAAATGCTACACAATCAAACTAAGATGTTAATTTGAGGCTCTTTCTTACTAAGATGCGTATTTTACGAAGTCGTATAAGGTTGAGATGATTACGGTTGAGGAACGACAACGCCAAAGTGAAAAGTAAGTTGAACAGAAACACATAACCAAGCAAAGCTCCTGCACCAATCCAATACCAATATGCATTTGGGAA